ATATCTTTACGACTTAAATTAGCAAATCTAGCCACAGACGTCTTCAGCTGCTTCTGCACTGTGCTCAGAGAGGCAACAGTAGTCGATTGGCTCCATGCAAAGACTGGGTCTCCCCACAACAGACACCTTGAGGGGCAGGAGGGACTGAGAGAGTTCTGAGAGAACTGAGACTGGCCCAAGGTCACCCAGCAGGCTGGAGTGCTAGTCTGATCCAGCAGAGTTCTTCTTTCATTCCCCGCTTTTCTCTACCCTAATGAGTCTCAAAGTGGCTGACAATTGCCTTCCCTTGCTCTCCCCACAACAAGCACCTTGTGAGGGAGGTGGGGTTGAGAGAGTTCTGAGAGAACAGTGACTGGCACAAGGTCACCCAGCAGGCCTCGTGCGGAGGAGGAGGAGTGGCGAATCAAACCCGGTACTCCAGATTGCTCCTCTTAATCACTACACCACGCTGACTCTCAAAGTGGTTACAACATCGCTCCTCCCTCCTCCATTTTATCCTCACAACAATAACTTTTGTGAGTTAGGTTTGGTTGACAGAGAGTGTGACTGGCCAAAGGTCACCCAGCAAGCTTCTATGGCGGAGTAGCCATTTGAACCTGAGCCCCCCTGATTGAAGTCTTTGTGTTTTTTCCCCTACTATGGAAATCTGTCAGATAGAGACGGATTTGCCTCAGGCACCATCTGGCAGTCTAGATAACAAACAGGTGGAGCAAAGGGATTTTGTTGCAGGGGGAAAAAGAAATCTGGAAAAACCTGCACATCTTCCCGTTGCCATCTCGTTTTGCTGTGTGATCGGATTGTGGCACCGGTCTGTCTTCTCGGTTCTCACGATGAGGAAAGAAACACAAATGGAAATTAATCAGGTCAAAACCCTCACATCTAATATGCAAGCGCTCTAAGCTGCTTGCTGATATGGTTCCTAGACATCGTGCAGTTATCTTCTCATATGCAAAGTTCTTTACAATCCTCATTTAATTTGTCCTTGGGACAATTCTGTCAGAGAAGCAGCTATCCACTGACAGTAAAAGCTCGGTTTAGCTGAGTCTCTGGCTGTTTCCACATATAGGGTTGCCAACCTCCAGGTGATATCTGGAGACCTTCTGCTATTAGCATTCATCTCCGGGGGGGGGAGAGGGAGAGAGAGAGGGAGGGAGGTTCCCCTGGAGAAAATGGCTCCTTCGGAGGGTGCACTCTGTGGCATTATAGACTGCTGAGGTCTCCCCCCCTCCCCAAACCCTGCCCTCCCGAGGCTCCACCCCCCAAATCTCCAAGTATTTCTCAACCCAGAGCTGAATGCTCCCTCTAAGTTGCAGAGTCTCGTGAGCAAAAATTCTACTTTGTGAGCTACTGGCATTAGAGTTGTGAGCGAGCGATTTGGCTACTGAGAGCCACTTTGGTGTAGTGGTTAAGTGTGTGAATTCTAATCTGGGAGAACCAGGTTTGATTCCCCACTCCTCCACTTGCACCTGCTGGATAACCTTGGGCAAGCCACAGTTCTGACAAGAGCTGTCCTTGAAAGAGCAGTTTCTGTCAGAGCTCTCTCAGCCCCACCCACCTCACGGGGTGTCTGTTGTGGGGAGGGGAAGGGAAAGGTATTTGTGAGCCGCTCTGAGACTCAGAGTGAAGGGCGGGGGCATAAATCCAATCTGTTCTTCTTCTACTGCGTAAATTAGTTCGCTCTGGAGCCATCCTTCCTGAGCTAAGACAAAAATGTGTGAGTCAGAAGCTAAAAAACGGTGAGCTAGCTCACACTGACTCAGCTCACTTCACCAGGTCCGTTCACCTGTACATCCATAGTAGTTACGGACACGTACAGTCCATGCATCTGAAGGAAGTGAGCTCTGAGTCTTGAAAGCTTATGCCTGCATAAAGGGAGCAGTCCTTAAGTTGGTCTGCTTAGAATCAATGAGGCTAACTTTTGTTTCCCAGCTTCCAGGTGGGGCCTGGAGCTCTCCCAGAATTACAACCAATCTCCAGACCACATGGATCAGTTCCCCTGGCGAAAACGGCCGTTTAAGAGGGCACGCTCTATGGTACACCGAAGATTCTAAGTGAACTCCGCCCCCAAATCTACGGATCTTGCTCCCAAATTTTACAGACCAGAGTTGACAACTGTAGCTTACTCTTACAAAAAGATTGGTATTGGAAATGTTGTCAGATTTAAGGCACCACTGCAATTTTAAGGCACTACTGGATTCATGATTGCTTTTCCAGCTACGAACAAGCTGTGTAGTCCTAAAAAGGAGTTGCACCCTGTTAAACTTAATTCAATGGAAGGGTGTAACTCTGCTCAGGGGTCATTTCCTGTGGGAGCGCACAGGAGTGGAGCTCCGACAGTAAGGAGCCCAGGGGGCGGGCTCATGCGACAAGCCCCACCCCCTGCTCCCAGCAGCCCTCAGTTGGGCCACGAGGCGCAAGAAGCAACCAGGTAAGTTGCAGAGCCTCCCCTGGCCTGCCTTCAAGTACAAGCTCTCCTCGAATAAGAGAAAAATGGTCGCCCTACTTCGATTGGATCAAGGAGGATGAAGCCAAGAAGGACAGTCATTGGAAACTTTGGACTTTGTGCCCATGGCTGAAGCAATGATGGAAGAAAAAAAGGGGGGGGCGGACAGAAGCAAGGGGGGGGAAGGAAATATTTGTATAAAGACGAAAACGTTGACTGTAAGACACGTGGTTAAAATAAAAAGCAATTTGTTTTTGTTTTTTTAAAAGTACAAGCTCTCCCTTCTCTGGAAGGACAGATCTGCATGTTCCCCCTCCCCGAAATAGCTAGCAATCCAAAACAGTCCAGTGGCACCTTTAAGACCAAGTTTTATTCAGGTACAAGCTCTTCCTCCTCTGTGAGGACAGATCTGCACTCCCCCCCCCCAAATAGCTAGCAATCCCAAACAGTCCGAGCCTGAGTGGTGGGTGTTGCCTTCTGACACACTTCCGGTGATGTCAGGGGATGTGGCATATGCAAATAAGTTATGCTAATGAGCTCCTGCCCCTCTTTTTCTACGAAATGACCCCTGACTCTACTTAGGATCAAGATAGGTAGTGTTGTTAGTCTGTCTGTAGCACTACAAAAGAGCAAGAGTTCAGTAGCACCTTAAAGACTAACAAGATTTGTGGCAGGGGAGGGGGTCGTTTTAGATACCGCTTGCTGTATCTGAAGAAGCGAGCAGTGACTCACCAGAGCTCCTACCCTGCCACAAACTTTGTTAGTCTTTAAAGTGCTACTGGACTCTTGTGCTCTTTTCTTCTACTACTTAGGATGGCCTTTTAAGACGGCAACCCTCTTGGAATGGCTAGATTCGAATTCAGTAGCACCTCAGGGACCAACAACAAGAGTCTTTCAGGCACATGCTTTCCGAGGATCAAAGCTTCCTTCCAAAGATACCAGTTGGAATGGAGATCTCTGAGCCTTCATATACCAGTCAGAAGGTGGGAAGGGTGTTGTGAAGAAGGAACTCAGGCTGCAAAGGTGCCACGCATATTGTGACCAGCTTGATTAGCTGAGAGGGGAAACGCTCCCCCCCCCCCAAAAAAAATTAGCCTCTGTGGTGAAATAAGAATTCAGCCTTGGGGTGGGGGGTGGATCCATTGTTTTGAACTTGTGAATTAACTCAGCAATCTCCCATTGTGGTTTCCCTTTGGGGAAATTTTTTTTTTGCATCCTCTTGGAATTATCATTTATATGTGATTTCAGTTCTTTCTGACTGGTGTTAAACTGGTATCTGAAGAAGTACGGTTTCTGAGAGGGAGGGCAGGAAGGGTTGCATCAGCACTTACCTCTTGTGGCCCTTTTTGACACACCCAGGGAAATGCATGGACGGCTTCAAAAGGGAATTAGATAAGCATATGGAGCAGAGGTCCATCAGTGGCTATTAGCCACAAGGTATAGCTAGGGGCTCTGGGGCAAGTGATGCTCTGTCTTCTTGGTGCTTGGGGGGGGGGTCAACAGTGGGAGGGCTTCTAATGTCCTGGCCCCACTGCTGGACCTCCTGATGGCACCTGGTATTTCTGGCCACTGTGTGACACAAAGTGTTGGACTGGATGGGCCTTTGGCCTGATCCAACATTGGCATCTCTTATGTTCTTATGTTCACTCTGGGGTCAGGGAGCAATTTTTCTCCAGGACAGTTTGGCTGGAGTTCCTGGAGGTTTGCTGTCATCTTCTGGGCATGGAACAGGGGTCACTGGATGTGTGTTTGTGTGTGTGCGGGAGGTATTTGTGAATTCCCTGCATTGTGGAGGGGGTCGGACTAGATGACCCTGGAAGTCCCTTCCAACTCTATGATTCTATGAAGCCGTGACTCACGGCCACATATTCTGTTAGTCTTTCAGGTGCTACTGGATCCTCGCTCTTTGCTGCTGCTGCTGCTGCTGCAGACAGACTTAACACGGCTCTCCCTGATCATACACGTACAGTGCGTGAAACCAGATTTCAAACTGCAGCGGGTGAGAGGAGCGCTGAGGAAGGGCGAGGGGAAAGGAGAAGGGGGCAGAAGGAAGGACCGCGCTCGCTTCCTTCCCCTCGGCGTTTGCCGCCGCCCCGACCAAGCAAAGCGCCCAAATTCAGGCTCCCCGCCCTTCCCCCACCCCTGCGCAAAGGCCCACAATCCAGGCCCCCCGCCCTTCCCCCACCCCTGCCGAGGGACCTTAGCAACAAGAGGGGCGCCCGCGCCGCCGCGCTTGCGCACTCCCCAACCCGTCCCCCCCCCTCCACACAGCCTCGGCCTGTCGCTCAATCCGAAGGGGGCGGTCTCTTCCGGTTCATGTCGGAGCGGAGGAAGCCGGGCGGCCATCTTGGATCATCCGGGAGCGGCGGCGGCGGTGCTGCTGCTGGCTGAGGGGGGGGAGAGAAGCCCGCCTAGGTCCTCATTCCCACGAGCACAGACGGAGCGAGGCCTCGGGCTCCGTTGGGCCGCCGGAGGGGGCGGGCGGGAGCAGAAGGCCCTGCGTGGCCTCAGCCTGCCCCGCTGCCTAGAGTGCCGGGGGGGGGGACGACCACTGCTGGGAAGAAGGAAGGGGGGGTGGTGTTTCCCAGTATGAGAGCTGCGGCCCGGTGAAGCGGGGCCTGGGAGAGAGGGGAAGCGGGGCTTAAACTGAGGGGCGGAGAAGCCTCCTTGGAGCAGCCCTTGGGACAGGCTCCCGCTGCCTCTCTGCAGGCGGCGAGAGGGAGGGCGTGAGGGGGGCAGCCCTCCCCCCTCAGTTCTCCATATAGCCTCCTAGTTGCCCTTGCTGCGGCGCCCTGCACCCGCCTCCTCCTCGCCCGCAGCCCCGTCTTGCAAGCCGCTGGGCTAGTCGAGTCTCATCCCCCCCTCCTTTCCTCTCATCCCAGCTCCCCTTTTTCTCAGCATTCCCCCCCTCCCCTCTCCCCCTTTTGGCACTTCCGCGAGAAATCCCCTTTCTCTTTAATCCCTCCGCCACACCACCTTCTGAGGCTCTTAATCTCGTCTGTAGGATGATCCCTGAAGATTCCCGGGGGGACACAGTGCCCCGTGGCCAGACTGGAATGTAGATGAGAGAGTAGTGCTGGAGGAGGAAATCACCCAAATTTCCTTCCCCTCACACTCCATGGTTTCTTGATGGTGGCCCTTTGTAACCACTATCATGCAGTAGGATTACCAATTTTTTGTAAATATATATAGTTTTTTGGGGGGAGGGATAGGAAGGGTGTTTAGGATTTTTTTTAAAAAAAACAAACCTATAGCTGGGTTTTTGCCATCACGAAACGGTGCTTCAGCACAAGTGAATGAAAATGTCCACTAGAACTCCGTTGCCCACGGTGAACGAACGTGACACTGAAAATGTAAGTGTATTTTGGGATGGTCCGTTTGTTGGTATGAGTTTTGCAGTGACTGCCTTTTGTCTTCTGGACTTTGTAATAGATATGTAGCTTATGCTAACGCTGTGTTTTGTTGCCCTCTTATCGGGGGTTGATGTGATGTGGCTTTCTTTAATTATAAGCAAAAGTGTTTTATTGTGAAAACTTGTATTGTTATAGAAGATGAGTGTCAGCAGTTGTGATATCTCCAAACCGCGATAATTAAAGTCCCTTCAGATAGAAACTTGACATTGCATGGGATATGCTCTGCCCTACTGTTATGACATGCACTGTTGGGCTGCTGTACATCTGGGAACAGATGTTTCACAGGTTGCTAAGAAAACGTTATCAATAGGGAAGCTGTTACTGAGGCCTCTCTACAATTAGCTTATGTTCATTCAGAAGGGCTAAGGCCCTTGTGTTTTAGTCTCACATCTTCAGAATGCAAATATAAATTAAAACCTCTAGCAGATGTTCATTGGCATAAAATGTGTTCATGACTAAAGGCAGAGTTTCTTAAAACGTAGGGCAGGAATGTAGTTCTGATAAAGAATGGAATTATTTCTCTTAAAGTAATAAACTGAAGCTTTTATTATGGTAGCCACTTATCTGGTGATATGAAAAAGACTTTTCTTCTTCAGGCATTATATTTGAGTATGCCTTTGCTTAGGTGCTAAACAAAACAACATTATTTATATTAAAAAGTGTGATGTGTTTATGTGGCTGTGTTAAGCTGGAAGTGGAAATTGAATGTGTCTGGAACGTGGAGAGGAAAGCTATTGTATTTGCTGAAGTTATGACAGAATTTGCTTGTAACTAATGAAAAGGACTGTTGTGGTATTCTATGAAACTGTAGAAGACACACGTGAGCTTGTATACAACTGAATATGAAACTCTTCTTTCGTGTTGCTGATTTGATTGCCAGTTTCACTATAAACTTTGAGATGTTCCAAGAACTGGGGAAATTCTGTATTTGTGAGTATGACAAAGAAGCTTAGCTGTGCATCTTTGTGGTGCATATCCTCACCCAGTCTGTGCACTGCTACTGATTGAAGATACTTCCAATATGCCTAGATACAGAAGTGGAAAATATGCTCAACGGAACAATTGCTTTATTGTCCCGACTCTGGATTTATTGACATAGTAGATAACACCTTCTCTGTTCTTTTGTTTGCTTTAGTTCTTAATACAGTCTGCAGACTAAAGTCTATGCTCAGCGAAAGTCAATTTAAGTAATTCAATTATAGAATATTTGTGGATTTCAGCCCAAGCCTCAAGCCTCCAAAGTTGCATTTGACCAAAAAGTCTTCAAAGTTGGAACTTCTGTGCTCACTGTCAGCCCTGAAGGCAGCTGAATACTCATTAGGTCTGGTGTCAGTAATTTGGCCACCCACTCTTTTGCTGGCTAGTCCACTCTCATGTATAGTATCACCTATATATCAGCAAACACATCGTTCAGAGGTCTTCTGGAGATTTTCCAGTGTCTTCCAATTTTCAAGCTTTCCTGTTCTGTAGGTACATTGGGGGGGAGGGGTTTTCCAAGTTGAAGCAAGCTTAATATTTGTGGTCAGGCTGAAGTTCATTTTCAGAAACATGTCCGGTTTTGTTTTAAAAATATAAAATTCACATAGTACAGTGTTTGATTATTTTGCTTCTGGTCATGTTGCCTCTTTGATCTTGTCAGAGCTTGTGAGCTAAGCAAAACTGGGCTTGGTTGGTCATGGAGTTTACACACAGGTAGCAATACTGATGTGTTAGAAATGCCATTTCAAGTGAGCCCTGCTCTTGACCACAGAAGTCCTAAATTGAAGAAGGATCCTCAATGCAAGAACAATGTATGTTAATTTTGTCTTAATGATATGTGTGTTAATTTTGTCTTAATGATATTAGTTTGTGTATAGACATACCCACAACTTCTGCTGGCTAAAGAAATGTCCTTTCTTCTTCCTTTCTTCTCACGTTCTAACCCTGCTTACAAACGTGATAATACTTCTGGTGGCAAAGAACTGACCTTGTTTTGCTGGCGATTTTTTCTGAACACAAAACACACACAATTTGAAAATACCCCAGTTGCATTTGGGTTCAAGTGTCATGGGACGGCCTTCAGTGCTTTACACCAGGAAAAAAGTACTAATTTCTGACAATAGGGATATATCTGAGTCATTGCCAAATTTTCCAACTTAATACCGAGTAAGGTCCATTGGCAAAGACAGAAAACGTTTGCAACAGTTTCATATTGGTTTCTTGGGAAACTGCTGATTGGGCATTGTTCTTGTCCTTGCCTGAAGTTTTAAGTATGTTTAGGAGTTTTTAAGGTAAAGACAAATCCTACAAGTCCATGCAGAAACATTTTTGGGGGGAGGAGGATTCCGGAATTATTAGGCACAATGAAAACCCTCTAAAGGCAATTTAAAGTTTACAAACTGAATCATCAAAGGCAGCCTTAAGTACTGAGGAAAAACGTGTCTCCTTCCCTGGCTCTGAACCTCTGGCTTTTTATAGCTACTTCAGTTTGCATGCGTGAGCCTAGCCCATTCCTTTCAGCTTGCATTGTATCTGACCTGCTCTGAGATGGTGCTTGTTTGCGATGCATGTGAGCAGCTTTTCCATTTGAACTCGTTTGTCAGAAGCTGTAGAATAGGCCTCCCTCTTGAAACCCATCACAGGTTATGGGGTTTTGCCTACAAGCAGCAGCTTCCATAGGAAAATCGGCACTTACACAGATTTCACTAATCCTTCCGAAAGTAGATATATGTTTGTTACCTGTAAAGCGTTTCTAAGCCTCTTGTGGTTTAGATATTCTATTAATTGCAAGGAGGGCTGGGAAAAAAAATCATTGTGCCCATCTAGTTCAAATGGTAGTTTATAACGCTTCTCACAGCTGAAAAAAAGTTAACAGTATTTCCATTCAGCTTTGATACTAGAAAATTTCCGACAACTTGTAGTGTTATTTACATCATTAGGGTATTTGTTGTTGGTCTGTCGTCATATTGGCTTAGACTAACTATCTATTTAAGATAATGCTAGACTTGAGTCCAGTAGCACCTTGGAGACCAGCAAGTTTCAGGGTATGAGTTTTCAGGAGTCAAAGAGAGCCAGTTTGGTGTAGTGGTTAAGTGTGTGAACTCTAATTTGGGAGAACCGGGTTTGATTCCCCGCTCCTCCACTTGCACCTCCTGAATGACCTTGGGCAAGCCATAGTTCTGTCAGAGCTGTTCTCTCAAGGACAGTTCTGGAAAGAGCTCTCTCAGCCCCACCTACCTCACAGGGTGTCTGTTGTGGGGAGGGGAAGTGAAAGGAGATTGTAAACCCCTCTGAGACTCCGAGTGAAGGGCGGGGTATAAATCCAGTCTCCTCCTCCAACCTCTTCTTCCTTAATCTGATGAAGGGAGCTTTGACTCTCAGAAGCTTATACCCTAAAACCAGGGCTATTTTTGGGCAGGAACGCACAGGAACGGAGTTCCGGCTGGCTCCCGAGTTGGCCACGCCCAGCAGGAACTCATTAGCATAACAGGCCACACCCAACAGCAGAAACTCATTAGGATTGGCTACATTAGGGGTGTGTGGCCTAACATGCAAAGGAGTTCCTGCTACAAAAAAAGCCCTGGGTTTTGACAACAAACAAGGTAAACAGAATAAGAAGCAAAAGGTGGGTGTGGCTGGATGACCACACTTCTGGTAACATGGGGGTGCGGCCTAATGTGCTAATGAGCTGTGCTGTCAGGGTTGTGGCCTAATATGCTAATGAGTTCCTGCTGTTGGGTGTGGCCTATTATGCTAATGAGTTCCTGCTGGGCTTTTTCTACAAAAAGAGCCCTGCCTAAAACCCTTGCTTGTCTCCAAGGTGCTATTGGACTTCTATGGCAGGACCAACACATCTACCCTCTGAAACCATTGAAGATAATGTTTTCTGTCTTTCTTTATGACTGTGGTAAGGATCCTGCAAGTAATTATACTTGTTTGTCAGCCGCATTTCTTCTGCAGAATGAGTGAAAACAGCAGTCAGAGCTTCCTTGGGCCACTTGAAATTTGGGGCAGCACGACTTTTGTGCTCCAGTCGAGAGATGAGCTTTCGGTATTGCACGAGAAAAATAGCACCTTTTGAGTGTGTTCACTGGCTTTAATACAATGCAATTGCAATACAGTCTGCTTGAGTGGGCCTGTAGGCTTAGTAGCGAGTACTGCTGTTGTACTGTTTGATCAGAGAAGCTGGACTGTGCTGCACTGCCGTTGCCAAGAAGCTAATTTATATGAACCATGTCATGTTTGTGGCAAGTTGACTTTATCCCCCCCCCCCCGCCGCCCGGATTAGGACACTGCTTTAGGGCCTTAGCCATAATTTACCTGCCACTCTGCCATGTAGTGCAACTGGTTTCTATGCTGACACTCCTGGAATAACGAGGGTTGCTCTTCGCATTCCCTTTTCACACAGAGTTGCATGATCACACATGAGATGCATGTCTTTTGTAATGTGAGAATAGCTACACAAGTGTCTCTTTTTCAAGCTAATATATTTAGCAGAGACGTTACATCCAAAATACAGCCACAGACGAGCCCTTCTCACAAGATACAGTAAGGACTGTACATTCCGCAGTTCTTAGCTTTGAATGTCCGTGGTTATTTGAGGTTCTGTGGTATATGCCATTAGGCATAGAGTTTAACCTTTTAGAAGTAACGTACTCCCAAAAGCCCTGCTTTAGTGAGCCTCTGGAGATGAAATCCCTAAATGAACTTCTGGACCAAAAAACCAGTGTCTCAAAAATAGCATCCAGTTGCCTCATGGGATTAAAATCCAAGCAAGGGTTTTCTGTCTCAGACCTTTGAGCACTGGGTATCCTCCTGGCTTTAAACATAGTTGCTAACCATGGCTATAGGAGAATTGGACTTAGTTTGGCAGTTTTATTGATGATTCAGGCGTGACAATGTCTTGTTCTTCATCTGCTATATTTAAACTTCAGTGCTGATGTCAGTAAAAAAAAATGTGT